GCAAAAGGATATGCAGAAAAAGAAGGGAAAAGGGGCTGAGACAGGAAAGACTCAAATAGAGGGAAGAGTGAAATGGGAAGAATGAAGCATGTAAATGTGATTTAGTGTAGAATGGGAAGTTCTTGGACATGTTGTAGGAAAGCCCGGATTTTCTTAGCTTTGAAGAGCATTCAGGAGTTTGCAGGCTTTCATTGATTATCACAGATTCCCGTTACTGCAGGACACAGTAAAAGTGAATTGTTTCCTGCAAACAGTGGGGTCAAGTGCAGAGTGGGAATATTTTTGTAATGATTTATCACCGTTACTAGTTGTGTTCTATCAGAGGCTTTAATTGGGAAAGTCTCATCTGTAATAAGGGATTAGAAGGTTGTCTGCAGCTCTCCCCTGGAGCTGTAATGTCTGGCAGTAGGGACCCAGGGAGCACTGGTGTCCCACAGTTTTAGTCTGACCGTAGTTTCTAAGAAGAATCTGAAGGTGAACAGAAACTGTAACGCTCAGTTTCCCAGGGGGGAGGAAGGAGGAGGGGAGGGGGGGGATACACACTTTTGACCCTTTGCCATGTTTTGCTTAGCACAGAAAGGAACATAACATAATTAGGAAGGAAGAAGTAACCTTTATGATATTACCAAAGTGCCAATAAATAGCTTCAGAAATGCTGCTCTTATTGCAGCCGAAGATAGAAAAGCCAAATAATAGTTGTATACATTGATTTTGCAGTGTAACTGTAGGCTTACAGGGCAGAATTTGGAAGATTTTCACATTATCAAAAGCCTTTATCTACAGAATTGTGTACATAAATTTCTAAATATTAATGCTCCTCTTCTAAATTTCAATAGGTGGTACATATTCTTAACCACTTTGTGTTGTGGTCTCTGGAGGAGCATGAAGGATAATATCTGATTGGTATTCTAATCTGAAATATCACAAAACATTTGGCTAGGAAAAAAAACAAGTAACCACATTTTTTTCCTCCTGCCAAAATGACCTTTCTGTATAAGAATTTGGTTCTGAATATTTCTAGAAGTGACTGCTGTAATAAAGCAGCTTCCAGATCTTATATGTTTTCAGGAAAAGGCAAACACAGACATTTGATGTATTACCAAAGATTGCAGCTTGTACTGTTGCTTTGGTAGTGGTGGTGATGTGGAAGAACTGCTTTAATACTCTGTGCCTCAGTCTTTTTATATCTATCTATGTCTGTCTGAATCCTCTCTCTATATAAATGACATGATGGGTATAATATTATTTCTCCTCTGTGAAACACTTCATTAGATCAGTGAGTAAAAACGGTTCTATACAGGAACTGCACTTTATTGTCATGTGTGAGCCTAATGTGAGAAGGGTTTTCCAGAAGTCTGCCTACTGAAATGAAGCACAAGTACAAATGTTTGCTTTGGATGTTCTAAACGCAGAAGTCTGAGAACTTTTTGTAGGAACTCAGTGTGGTTTGGCAGTTTGAAAAGGGCAATGTTAGAGGTTCCTGTGCTGCATCAAAAGAGTTATGGCCTGATATAAAAGTGTTTGGCTCATTCAAAGGCCTTCAAAATATTTAGATAGGCTAATTTTGCAGTGGCAAGGTTTACTGGTTGTCCACTCTATGCTAGATCATTTATAATATCTGTCTTAACTTGGAAGAAGTCAGCTGATGTTCTGTATCGCTTGATTTGTCTAATATGCTACAACTGTGATTATACGATTAACCTGAATTTGATCCAGCTTGTTCTTGCTGGATGATCAGATATCACATATATGATCTATCCACTCATGTATAGAAGATGCTAATCACATATTAATGATCTAATAATCCCAGCAGAAGTATTAAAATCCCTCTGAATTAGAACGGAGGTTTCCTCGGTACCATCTGGTCACCAAATGTGACGTTAGGCAATAACAGCTCTCAGTTTGTGAGAGTGGTAGAAAAAGATTTACAAAATGGTTTAACCTTTCCAGCAATAAGAGCATCATAACTTATGCATCTGTTCTTTTGCCATTTAAATAGCTGGAGGTTTTTTGCACTGATTTTTATTTGGAGTAAGATAAGACACTGCTTCGTTTGTCCTTCAAATCTGTGTTTGTCAGCCAGTGGACAGCAATTCTTTGGCTGTGGCATTGTGTGTATTTGTTTGTTTTTCTCCTACAGGAACAATATGAAGTTATTTTCTCTGGCACCCTCTGCAAACAGAAGAAGTTTTGCCTGAAATTGGGAATGTTCTGTATCCAACCAACATATGTTTTAGCTAAAATGTTTTGGAATCATATTTTTTGTGTTTATAATTTGACGCTATATCCAATTTTTAACTTGGCTCTCTAAAGTCTATACATGCATACACACATATACATGCAAGTGGAAATAAAACTGTTAGTTGCAGAACTCAGACTTTGCATTTAATGAACACGTGAAATTCTGAGGAAAAGCCCATAGGCAGTTAGGACACGCTGGAATCCTAGAACCAGAAACATGGAGAGCCTTTTCTAAAAAGAAAAAGTATGTCATGCTGTCTTCTCTATTTTTTGACAAATACATTTTGGGTTGAAATCAAACTGAGGAATAAAATAATAATTAGTTTCACTGCAAGTAATGATACATCTTGGAACAGGGAACCAAACTTCTGTGCCTTCTATTTTCCTTTCTCTTCCTCAGACTAAATGAATTTGATTAGAGATTGGAACAAAGTGCTGGAAGTTTTCATTTTACTAATTATGGAAAGCAAAGTAAGTAAAAAGAAAGCATGCATTCCTTTTTTATTATCTTTTTATGGAGGTTATAACCAGAGTTGTTTTCTTATAGCTTTAAGCTGAGTTGCCACAAGTACTTATTCTTAACAAAATAAGTATGGACCAGATCCAGAGTTGTTCAAGCAAACAGCAAGATTTCCAGCAATTTCAGTATTCTTTTGATCAGGCACTTAATCTTCTAGAAAATACTGGGCTTAAAAGGACTATTGTGTTTGTGGTGCTGACTGCATATGGAGTTTGGAGTTTGAGTTTGTGTCTAATGGAGAAGAAGAAAGACATTTACTAACAGATTTTCTGTAAGTATTGTTTTACTTCATTTTCATTCTATTCCCTTTCCAGCTGTTTTTGCATAATAAAAGTTTAAGTGAATCCCCTTTAAAAGGTCTGCTTTTGTATTAAGGTATTTAAAATTCAATGTCTTTGTGTCAAAGGGATTTTATGAAAGATCTGTCCAGGCATATCCTGTAATAAACATCTGGAAAAATGCAGGGCTTGCCTAATGGTGGTTGTATAGCAAATATGCAGTTTATCTGGCTGGTTTGATATCAGGATTAACTTTCTGCCACTTTTAACTTTCTGAATTTACTTATTTGTTTTGTGATCTGAATATTTATGTTCTATTGTGGTGAAATAGTCTTTAGTAGTCTTCTAGCTCATAGGTAGTACAAACTGTACAATCCTGGGTTGATGCACTAAAGTCTGTATGAAAGTACATTACATCTCTGCATGGTATTCACTGATTAAGTGCTGGAAGAGTAAAGTTGCTCATCTTTAAAGATAGCTTCATTTAGTACAAAGTGTATAGGATAATGAGTAGATTAGCCAAAAGCAAAGGCTGCCACAGAGGTAATAGGATATCATTTATGTGTGGACCAGAAGTTTGATTAGGATAAAGGAAAAAGAAAACATGAAGTTTAGCCTATCTGATAAAAGCCAGAAGTAAAAGCCCTTAAACATTTTGGGAAGAGAAGGAATTTAAGGTTTTTGCAAAAAAGAAAGAGGAAGAGTAAATAGTTTGAAGAGTAAATAGTTTCAGCGGTAATAAGAGAAAAAAGGAGCAATTGCAGAAAATATCATTAGAAAATAAGGAAATGTATGTTCATAAAAATCACAGAAAATTTGAAGGGGAGGTTTTAGCAAATAAGCAGAATATGAAGTTGTAATCCTACAGTGACATTTAGAGTCCTGTGAATGACCAAGGAAAACCATAATCCTTATTCTGACTGTAATGGTGCTGAAGGGTAAATGCTCTGTAATGACAAAATTCCTGTCAGAGTTCTCTGTTGAAAATAGGAGGTTTTAGGACAACAATTTTAACTGTATGACTTAATTGGTAATTCCTGGAAAATTATTGCTGATGGTCTATGAACAGATTAATTGAGGGGATGTACAGAAATAAAGTGATGATCTCCTAGATTTGACTACACTTACCCAAAGTGCAGCTTGACTCTAGAGAGGGAATTGTGCTGGGTCAGTCAGGTGAGCCAACCCCTCTGGGGTACAGTGTGGAATTCAGTCCCTTGAATAGTGAAAACTGCATTTGCACGTGATGCTTGTGCTGGTTGGAAACAGGCAAAGAAAGGTTAGTTGGCAGGGTTACACCATGAGCAGTGCAGCAGAGGGTGATGATGATGCAAGACCTGGAAGATGCTGTTCACCTCAGGACCCACCGTCCCCCTGAATAAACTTCACCCTGATGATTCCCTGTAGGCATTCCAGCAAAAAGGAGGTTCTACTTGGAAGGATAAAGTAAAAATGTAAATGGGAAATGCATGTGGCTACAGATGCTTGCAGGTGTTCGCTATCAATCCTTTTAGTAGTTCAAAAAGCCTTCAGCCCCATTTGCTTCTGAAGGAGGAAAAAATTTGCTTGTGAGCTGTTTAAAAGTAATTTTGTTCTCATTTATGTGGGAAGATGAATTGTGATACTAAAAACTATTTCATTTTACTTGTGCATTTAAAAAAATATTTAGTATTCAAGGATGGTATCTAATCCTAGAAAGTTTATCTTAGTGCTCTATTTTACCTGTTGAGCTAACCTCCAAAAAGTAGATTACAAATCAACAAGTAAAAGCTCAGTATAACACTTTACTCTCTTACTTTAGTTTCTTCTGAAGAGCCTACCTCAGTAGGCTGCTTTCCAAGCACTCAGGCTATCTTGTATCTCAAACTGCTAATTAATGCCAGCTGTAACTAATTGTGACATTGGTATATGGTTCACATTAGGAACAGCAGGACTATTTTAAAACTGGGATAGCTGTGGGTTACTAGGAGTAGAGTCTATTGTAGTAGTAATGGGCCTTCCTAAGGCAAGGGTCAGCTGTATGTAAACTTTCTCAAACTAGAACTGTGTGTTTTGAGACTGATTGGAAATGTCTCTCTTTCTACTGCTACATTTTAATGGAGGAGCAATATAGAAACATAAGTATTGTCTGTGTTATCTATTCTGTGCATTCTGAGGGTTCATGTTCTCATCTATGTCCTGAATCTACATGGGGAGGTGAGTACAGCAAACACTTTTCTTTCATCTCTTTGTCTTTTTCACTCACTTGTATGTCCTCTTTGTTTGTTTTCATGTGACTCTGTTCTAATTAAAAAGGCATCTTCTGATTTTTTTTTTCTTTTTTTTTTCTCCCAGAACTTGGTTCTTTCAGAATTTACCATTTGTAGGTCTAGTGGTTCAGGTTTGTCTCTGGCAGCTTGGTAGACTATAACAAGCCTACTTGTTAAACCAAGGTTAGCTAGCTGGAAGCCCACTCTAAACTCTCTACCATCAACTTGTGTTAAACTAGACATATTATGTGTCTTGGGTTTGATAAGTATTTTAGTTACATGGATATGGATGTATACTGTGAATAAAGGAGTGCAGTAAGATTTAATTTTGCTAACGTAACATGTAGTATGGATTCTGTTTCTAATTTGAAATATTAATTTTTATGGTGAACTTGGCCAGAGAGTCCATATTTAAAATCAGTGTATTTAGATTTTTTTTTTTTTTGCATTAATGGGGGAAAAAAAAATCCAAAATACTTGTTTGAAATTCTGGATGCAATTAAATGTACTTCTGGTTTTTATGATTCTCAGTAAGTTTTTGCACTTAAATGAAACTAGCATTCAGTTTAATTCACCATGCACTGTACATTTATGTGTTACTAATTTTAAAATCTGGGGCTTAATGTTGAAGTTAGAATTTGAATGAGATTAGTAGGCAAACAGTTTTTTCTTTCTGTATACACTTAGTTTTTTGCTCACTATGATGCTGATGTTTAGAGCTTAGATACCCTATTTAATGATAGCTAATACAGTGATACTGATTTTGTCCCTGCTGTGTTCATTATTAACCCCAGAAGGTAATGAAATTCTTATTAGGCTCAGTACTGGATATTAGTAATGTGTTTGACCATGCTATAAAAAAAAATAAGGAAAGCCTGCAAACATCTGTAAGCTAATTACCTGACTTGAAAACCACTAATGTACATGAGTAACATTTGCTCATGCAGATTGTCTTAGTGAATTCAAAATCCCTCAGATGGGTAGTTGCAGAATAAGGCTATAAATCATACCTATGGAAAGGCTAAGAAGTGTTAATAGGAAGGCACCCATAAAGTACTGTAAACATTTAATAAGTTTTTATTAACAGCATATATAATTAAATTAAGGTAATAGTCAATGCTTGAAAATAAAGAACCGGAAGTTGGACTTGCTTTGCCTGCAAATATATTTTTAAAAAAGTATATCTGGAGCAGCGATCTGTTCACAGTAGTTATTCCTGTTCTATATGACGGCCAAAGCTACCATGTCCATGTTCCCGATAAACCAAATTCAGTTGTTATGTGTACCCCTACGCTTGTTTGTGTGCCCATAGCCAGGTATGATACTCTGAAAATGGGATATATGCAACTGGAAAGTACTAAGCAATTATTTGTTGGTCAACATGCATGAAACACAGCTAGGATTTAAAGAGCTTCTGAGAGCCATTCTTGATAAGATAGCTGAGAAGACTTTGTTTTGGTAGGCATCATCTGAGAAGATGGAGTAGTGTTTCATGTTAGTGTGGTTTCTATGGTTGGTTGGTAGAGAGGCAGGGCACTCTAGGGAGATGTTGGATAAGCTTTTCTAAGGGTGACCCATGCATCTGTCTTGCATTTGTGGCTCAGGAGCTGGGCTGACTCTTTCAGTAGAGAAGCCTTTACAGTACTGCACAGCCCCTCCAGGCACTGAACAGCTAGAAAACCTGGTTGGATGCCTTTCCAGGAGACTGGGGCTCCCAAACTATGATTTTATGAGTTCACAGCAGGTTGAAAGTATACTCATAATGGCTGGAATACAGGCCAGCAGGCTCTGCCTCAGTAGCTAGATGTCTTAGGAGAAAGAAGGAAAAGGGAGCGAGGGATGAGCTTTGTAGATATCACCTACACTGTGTTTTATGGCAGATTTAGATGATGTACTGGTTGTATGTGTACTTTTGTTTTTCATAGGCAATTATTTTTGTGTAGATGCTTAGTGGAGTAAATATATTGGGCTTTGCTTGGAGCAAGTCCTTGTTTTACAAGGTTGTTTTATGTACATAACTTAGCTACTCGAATGTCAATTTTCAAAGTAAGCAATGTTTTAGCTATCTGTTTATTCCTCTGGAGTTCTAATAGAGCTTCCACAACTGAAATACTTAAATGTGGGCCTAGACAGAGGTTATCTATTATGCACAGTTTTGTTTTAATGTTTCCATTAAACTTTGGAACCACTGAATGTGATAATTTTCATGTATACTGCGAGAGTTTCTCCTTATCTAAAGCCCTTTCACATAAAGGGGTGTTTTATATTTGACTTTCCTGTGCATGGAAACAACCTTTTTCTGGCATTATCTTTTGGAAAGGATACATCTAGAAATCTTGTTATGAATACATGCATGTAGATTTGTTATATTACATGAATGGAACCTTTTCCTTTGATTATAGAATCATTTAGGCTGAAAAGGACCTTTTTAAAATCATTTAGTTCCAACTTGTGGTCTTATGAGTCTGGCCAACCAGCAGGAGACAAGGATGTGAAAAAATATGGTGCTAGTCAGAAATGCAAGTTGATGACAGTCCTCAAAAGTAAGCATCTGTGATTACAGTACTTGTTGGGGCCCTCAGAATGTTACTGGTAAATAGTTGGTCAATGTATGCTACATCTTTCAGAGAGCATTCTCATCTCTGAATCACAGAATATCTCTTGTTGGAAGAGGCACACAAGGATCACTGAGTCCAATTCCTGTTTGCTCTTTACCTAAAAATCAAACCATATGTCTAAAAGCTGTGAATATGTATGTGGAGAGAACTCAGGGTGGATCTGGGTTTTTTTTTCTAGGCAAACTTAGCAAGGTTCAGGACTTCAAAGTTACCTGAATGCCATACCTATGCTGTAGAGGAAAAATGGGCAGGCAAACAAATAAGGCATGTCTTAGTACTTCAGAAATTTTTATTATCTCAAACATTTTTACTCATTACCTAACAGCCTACAAAATGTGTACTGAAGACTTTTCAGTGTGAGCTGTTTGAAAAACTTACAGATATGGGAAATGACAAAGAATTAAAGCAACCTGACACCTGTGAATTAAGTGTGATAAGCAGTATATAATTAATGTTGCATTGCCTTGAACCGAGATGGCTGCATGTTAAAATTGTCTAACTGAAACCTATATCTGAGTATTTTGTAACACTAATAGCACAGATAGTTCTGTAAAACAGTTACATGTTGTCTATGTGAGCAGTAATGATTGTGCATGTGCACATCCACTTACCAAAAAGTTGCAAGGTAAAGGCAGAATGTCCCACCAAATGCACAAGGTGTAATGAAGTCAGGCAGCATTGAAAGTAGATTGGATAAGGCCTGCTTTTGGGCAGTTGGTGTGCAGGAATAAGTTACATAGAAACATTAAAGAAGAGGGAATGCAGAATAGAGAAGACAAATGTAATCCAAAAGTAAGAAAAAATAGTAAGTATTGACTGTTGCAGTACAGGCAAGTGCTTCAGTGTTGTGATTTAAAAACTTGTGCCTTCTTCTGAATGAAAGGCTCACAAAACTGACACAGCACTTTAAATCACCCTGTATGCATTTAGCCAAAAGCCAAGGAATGGCTAATCACCAACAAAGCAGTAAGACCATTTATAAGGCTGGTAGGAAACATTACGATTCATCATTCACACGAAGTCGGTGGTGTTAGCTGCTGGTGCAGCTGGTGTTCCTTTGCTTAGCTCCTTGCTAGGGAGCGGAGTCACAACCCTTGGCATGTAAAGATGTTGGATTAGCCTTAAGAAAAGTGGTTGCTCATAGTGTTCTCTTGCTTTAAAAAAGTTTAATGTAAGCATTCCAGGTATATGTTTATTGCTCTTCTTGTCAAATGACTGAATTACTGCTTGGGAATTTAGGTGCTTGCACAGAGAAGCCTTGTGCAGTGAAAATGTGGGCATCCTTTATCTGCTTTAAAGATGTGATCACTTTTTTTTTTTAACAAGTCTGTTACAAATAGAATATGGAGCAGTAACCTTTGCTCCCAAACGTAGGCAGTAATCTAATTTGAGCTGTGGAAGCTGACTTCTTGAACATTTGGTGAAACTTCTAATCCTTCTGGAGAAATAATTGTGTGTTAATTAAGAGCCAGAATTCCACAAGGCTTATTAGCTGTCTAGCTGGATCTGAGAAGCAGAAGGTTGAACAGAGTTTAACTAAAATTTAGAACTATTAATTAGTCTCCTTTCTTTCTGGTCTCCTTTTTATTTTCCTGTTTTTGGTTTGTGTAGCACACTTTGAATGACCCGTGAGAAACTATTGTGTTTCTGACGTGATAGCTCCCAATTGTAAATGCTGTACTTTACTGGCCGTGAAAGAATAAAGCTTTAAAAGAGCTTGGCTTTCCTTAGCTACAAGCTAGCTTGTTATAGAAGAAGAAATGACAGAAAGTGGAAAATGCAGGCTAGCTAATCTTGTTAAATTGGCTGAATAATGTTGCATTCAAGATTCCTGAACTCCATGATGGAACACGCAGATGCTTTAATAAACTTGAGCATGTCTCACTTTAGCAGTCTTTGCAGGGTTCAGAAAATTTTTGATAGGCATATGGAAACTTAAGTATGAAACTCTTCCTTATGGACCTCAATTTTATAGTTATGGGGATTTGTGAACATGCAAATGCTTTTCTTCATTGACATGTGCATGGGCAAGATCAGGGAGGGAAGAGTAGACCCTGAAACCCATGTTAGTATGTGAAAGTTTTGTAGATGGCATGCATAGAGATGAAAATCCATTAAACAGTTCACATTTGAATATTATGATTAAATTCACTTTCAAAGATGAGAGGGGTGCTAACATATGGGTACTGTGATGCAGTACAAAAGTCACTGGGATTCTGGTATGATGTGAGACAAGCTGAGTGTAACAGCTGCTATTCCAGCTCAATAGCCCCTGTACCCCCCCAGTGAAATCATTTTAAGCCTGCTGAGCAGGAGCAGTTTAAAGGTC